GGGGGACTATCGGTCGGGGCGCTGAACGTCGCATACGCCGCATACGCGTTAGTCTTTTTTCCCCCGGCAACTATTATAAATAAGCTAGTCTTGACGTAGATCTACGTAATGAATTGTGCGCTGGTCTATGGAATCAAAAGTTGCCATATGCTCGGCTCTACACAGCAACACAACTTTTTCTTGGTAAACAATCGAGATGACACACACTTGTGTATTTGAAAGAATCGGTCTTTTTTTTTTTACACAGCTCATAATATGCAGGTGCCAGGTGGTCTGCTAATCTTCAATTTTACCTTCTTCTACGACAAAGAAAGTGGGAAACATGGGGGGTGGGGGGGCGTATCAATGAGGCGGCGGGCATCGGATCGGCAGAAAATTGGAAGCCCTGAACGTTAGATAGAACGAAGACACTTCCTTTTTTCCGGACCCGAGTCCGAATAACATTTTTTCATATTCGGACTCGAGTTCAAATATGAAAAAATGTTATTCGGACTCGAGTCCGAATAAAGACGGCCTAAGGTTTGGCCTCTTCTATATTGTGTTTGATGGGATGGTCGCTCGTTACGAAAGTCCTTCCGATTGTAGGCCTATATTTAACTATGTATCTCTAGATCAACCTCTGTTTTCTAGAGAGATAGTTTTTATTGCTCTTTTTCGGTAGTTCCCACCCTCTCTCTCTCTGATTTCTAGATAGTTTTTACTGCGCTTTTTCGGTAGTTCCCACCCCACAATTATTATTCGCCGGTTTTGGCCCCAAGAGTAGGGCCAGGGGGGTTTCAGGGGGATGCGCCCCCCTGAATTTTACCTTAATTTGATGTTTTGCTGTTGTTCTTAGGTTTGTTTTATCCCTCATTCACCATGCATCATGTGTCACGGCGGTTGAAAAAGGCTGTCGTCAATTTTTGGGCATGTTGATTTATTGGTTAGTATCATCTTAAAGCTCTTTCATTTGTCTTTCTTTGGATGAAAAAAATATTCATTTGTCTTGAATAGATGTCGAGATACTTTCAAATGATGAAGGAGTGAGAAAATGGCTGCCAAAGACTTTTTATAAAAATATTTCCTTAGCTTGAGAGTTCGTGGAAACTGAAAATTAACATTTTTTTGTGCCTTTGGGTTTAATCAACTTTTTTTCAGAAAAATCCACAAACTAGACATGTGTTTTTTAATAGGATGAAAAGTGTAAGCCATAAAACGAAAATTCGATAAAAATGTTCAAACTCTCGGAAAAATGCCAGTTTCTTCACTTTGTTATTTTAACGAACGCCTGATTTCACCACGCTCTCATAGATCTAGATCTAGAGGCCCAAATAAGGGGGGTGGGAACTACCGCAAAAGGGAGGTTTTTAAGTACTACCACTTGGGAATATTTTCTGCAGGCTGCCTCTACCTCTTCCCTACCAAGACTCAGTCTAAGGCTAAGGGTTGAAGGTCCAATGAAATTAAAATCATACATATACACACAGCAAAAATAATTCGAAGTGTCTATTAGCCTTCCGTGGCTATTCGGACTCAATCTCCAATGTGTGGAGGATCCTTAGGGGAATTGAGTCTGGTCGGGGCGGTTTGCTTGTCAGATTGATGCCGCAAAGTGGTTATTGTGACACAATCTGATCGCGCCCGACTTGCCGACTCAAAAACAAAAGCCGTTTGTTTTCAGGCGAAGAGTGAGGCGATGGCCTCTGACCCGACCTGACTCATGCCCATCTGCAATGGGCACCCCATATAAAAATACTATCAGAATATAAATAAATTGTTTTTGTCTTGATTTTATTTGAACATCATGTAGCCGACTTTTCTTCCCTTTGGAAGGGTTTTAATAACTTTTCTTTTCTTAATTTCTAACTGGACTTCCAATTGATCAATGTTTTTGTCTTTCTAATTAGCCGTGTTTAGTCTACCTTTTGATAGTTAGCTATTATAAATATATAATCCTTTAATTGTTGTTCTGAAACTTTGATTTTCAATTTTCTTCAGTGCTTTGAGCTCAGATTGCCGTTTCCCGGTTTGCCTTTGTTGTGTAATATTTCAGATTTTGCATACATTTGACGTCACTAGTACTTTTCTTAATTTGTGTTGCCTAGAAACTTTTGGGCAGATCGTAGAAACTGAGGAAGTCCAAGGTCAAATTCCCCGTCCGTTTCGCATCTGGTAATTGCGCGTGTGCATTGGAGTTTTGAGTCCAAACAGCCTTGGGAGGCTCTGAATAGCCGCGGCCTAAATAATTAGAATAGAAGGCTAAAATTCGTGTTGCCAAATGTTGGATCTCCTGCAGAGCTCTTTAGACTTTTCTACTCAGATAGAAAAGAACTGAGATTTTGAATGAAAGAACATTGAAGGAATCTCCTAGAATTCTCATGACAACTGATAGCGAGAGAAAGTCCGCTTTAATCGGCCCCCTTCAGTCTCTCCAGTGAGTAGAATACTTGGACAAATCAGAACCATTTTACCTTACTGGAAGATACAGCTGCTTCAAGCCTTTTGTTCAAAGTTTGTCTTAATTTTGTAATTTTTATTTTCTCCTTCAGCCAAAGAGAAACTTTGGAAAACCACACCCTTTCTTGCTTGTTATTTTTATCTTTGCTGTTGCCACCATTTTGGTGCGGTAGGCTCTTACAAATTTCTCTCGCCATGTTATTCCCAGATATCCATTAATCATCAAAATGTTGGTCCACACATTTTGACAAAGGATAAAAATAAAAAAGGAAGTTGGTTTTGAGGCTAGGGGTGGAGGAGGGGGTGTGGCCAGTGGGGAAGGTTAGATAAGGGTTCGTCAGCCCCTCCCCTCCCCCTCTCGTGCAACCCACCAAAATAGTGCAATAGAAAATACAGTTTTGAAGATGGTGTATGGTTGATTTTTAGTGGTCTGAACAAATAATTCCCTAATTAAAATTAATTACACATTATAACTTTGTTCTAAATGTGGATGAAATTAATGAGTTTCAAAGTTTTGTCTTACACGTTACACAGTTGTTTCTTCACTAAAAGTTTAAAGTGGATAGTTTGAAAGGTTCTATTTTTTTCTCCTGGATCATGTACATTGTTTAGTGTTATGTGGATCTGTGATAATAATAGGTACTGGTATTTAAAAGTAAAGTTCTTGAAAGCTTCTTCTTTGTTTTGAGCATACATTTTTTTAAAAGCATTAACTATTAAAGAGTGCCTCCCCTCCTGGAGTTAAAAATTAAACTTTAGTTTTTAAAATGATTTAAAATATGGTATTTATAGGTACTTTCAGTTACTATATTTTCATTTTTTACTTCCAGGGGTTCAACATCAATGAGTGTTTCGTGAGCTGTTAGAAGTGGTAGAACAGCTTTTGGCTTTTGTCATGTGACGTCCAGTTGGGGTCAGAGCACAGGGACCTTGTGCATCTCCTCCACAGAGCATGAATGTGGTGGCAAGCTTTCTCTTTATGGCATTGCTGCTGCTAGCAATCAAAGCCCAGAGTGAGTATTCAGAGGAAACTATAGATCTTTAACCCCTTTCTCAAAAACAACAGTTTGTTGTTTGGGTTCAGTTCTTTTCTTTCCTTAGTCTTAGAATTCCTCTTTGGCTTTTGAAGAGTATCATTGATAACGTAAGAAAAATATTTAACTACATTTGACCCCACCGTTAGCCCTTTATTAAGTAGGCTACCTGGTACGTCATGAAAATGCGCAATTTTTTGGCTTTGCGCTGCACCATGTACGTCACACAAGTTGGCGAAATTTGCCGCTCCTGGTTGCCTCTATATGACATTACATGTACGTCACGGTAATCACCTGGCTCTAATTCTTCTGTGCAGAGTTTTAGCCACAAGCACTCTGTGGATTCTTATTTGGCAAGAAAAGATGCACATATCAGTACCAAATTAGCTGGTATTACTTGACTGCTAGACTTACTAGCGATCGATGAACACAGATTTAGGCTTACGGGTGGCCTCGTGGTCTCGCAAAACGTAAACACAAAAATGACTGAAAAGGCAAATAGATTCACTTAGTGACTTAGATTTTTTTGCAAGTTATTCTAAATTATGAGTCTGTCGGGGTGGAGATAGGGAATGGGAGGTGTGAGAAAATTGATATGATGGAAGACTAGGGTTTGAAATATGTTACGGGAGGGCTAGATCTAGACAACAAGTCCATTAACACTAAGACGTGAGACTGCTGTCCTGGGTAACGAGCTAGTCTAAAAATCAGTGCTGACTGTAGGAACGCATACCCTATGGCAACGAAAAGGTTAAGGGTGACCGAAATATTTTTTTTTGTGTTACTAATTTTTCTTACAACATGGACAATGTGTTTGGCCAGCTGTTCATTTTGAAAATCTTTTGTAGTGGAGTTTCTTATTCTGTGATATTGGTTGCACGTATTCAAGAAATATTTTGTCGAAATTCAAATTCTAAAAGTTAAAAAAATACAAGGAAAGATTTATAATGTAAGTATACTTGTTAAAAGAATGAAACAGTTTTTCCTCTCTCCTGAAAAAGTTTGCTTCTTGGGATCAATACAATTGAACAGCTTGCTGACAAAGCTCTGTTGCTGTCTTTTCTTGTTCATTTTCATTAATGGGTTCTTTATGAATTAGTCATTGATTTTACAAATACTATAATTCACTTTGCCTACTTAAAAGTTTGGTTTGTTACTGATCCTTAACTCTTTATCTCCGGAAAGCTGCTCCTAGCGGCTCGCGGTCAGAACCACTGTGCCGATGAGCCGCTGACAGCGGCTTGGGCACTTTCCTTTACGACGACTTTTTTTTTGGCAATTAAAACAGGTCTGTTTTATGGGGATTTCATTCATTAGATAAAAAACTATCAAAATAAGTCCACCTGTTTTGATTCAATGACCAATTTAGTGACGTTTTCGTCATTTTTAGATTTAGTACCGAAAAAGGGCCCCCGACATAGTGGGTTTACCCCCCTCTGAGATAAAAAGTTAAATTGTTTATAATCAATATTTCCAATAAGTAGAAAGTGTAGAGTACCAATTGTAACTTTTTTTGACTACTGGACTTATTTTTTGCTAGTCATGTTTGTTTTAGTAGAGGTTTTACGACGCTTACTATTGCGTTAGGTCATATGAGCGCTTTGCTAGTCTTGTTGTCTAGTGCACAAACATACTCAAACCAATTCACACTGAATGTTGTTTTGTAAATCCTCTTCTGTTTCTGTTCCAAAGTAGAGATACACTAACATTCAACAAACAGACACCTGACCTATATGAAGTATTTTGTTCTGAATGCTTACGCCCACATCTTCTTACAGAGGCGAAGGTGGAAATAATTGGTCCTGACCGTGTGCAAGAGTTCCATGCCTGTGTAGGGACCACAGCCTACATTCCATGGCCTCTCAATGTCTTGCTGAGGACAGGGCACAAGTCACCCTCCATATCTTTGACTTTCCGGCGGAGGCACAGTGAGAAGAGCAATGTCATTGCTCGGTTTACAGAGCGCAAAGAGTTCCAGGTTGAGACTCTGTTTCGAGGAAGGTGAACAAAAGTGTGCTCTTCTTTGTTTGTCGAACTTCATTTCAAATGAAATGCTAGTGGTCCCTGAACTATTTGGTTGAACTATGCCATAGTAACAATAAAAAGCTGAAAAACATAAACTTCCAAATGATGACAGAAATAAAGGTTTGGAAAAGCTATGTGTGTTGTCAATCCTTGTATATGGCTGTGAATAGATCTAAACATAGCGACCATAAACAAGAGGCAACAAAAATTTGGTTTCTAAGGAGACTGTTGAGGATTTCATGGAAGGCTGGAAGGAAAAGAAATCAAATGAATTAGCACGGAAAAAAGCCAGCATGGGGTGGTCACTGATAAAAACAATTAGGATGAGAGAAAAGCAGTTCCTAGGATGCTGTAATTGGTATAAAAACCTTGAACAATTTGCTTTCGCTGGAAAAGTAGAAAGCAAATAAAGTCCAGGTAGACTAAAAGTAATTTACTCAGAGAACTTGAACGAATGGGTGACAAAAAAAGACTACTTTATTGTTAACAAGATGTTCAAAGGTTCTAACCTTCTTTCTAAAACATATTTGAATTGTAGTTTTCTTTTCTTTTGGTATTAGCTGCATGTGCTGGAAAAATATTATTTTTCAAAATTAAAATTTTAAATTTTGAAGACAGCATAAAAAATATAATATATCATAAACCCACAGTCTGTCATGTCTTGGCTCCAGATTTTGGTAATATTTTATTGTTGCCTCTTTTATTGCCTATTCTACAAGCTTCAAGTGTTTCAGAAGTATTTTTATTGAAATTCAATTTCTAAATGTTGCTAAAAACAGTCCCCAAATCTGTCATAAGGTCTCAATTGGTTCTATTTTCGCTGATGAAAGCAGATAAGCTAAAGTCAAGAGGCAAATGAAGCTTGTAACCTTTTATGGAGGATGTAGGCCTATATTATATAGAGTCCAAATTGCCAAACAATGGACTTTCCTGTAGCTGAGAAGAAGGGGATATCATATTTCTGTTTCATAAAATGATTTGGTAGAGAGCGAAATAAACGCTTGTTGTGTTTGTACGAAACATTAACATTGTGAAGCCTTTATTAAAGAAGGCTGAATCAACGAACACTGGGATAAGTTAAGAGAGGCAGTAAATGCAACTTGCCAGAGCACCCTAGGACCCAAAGACAACACCAGGAATGAATGGATTTCACAGGACTCTCTAGACAAAGTCAAAAGAAGAAGAGAGCTGAAGGCCCAAGTCAACAACAGCGGTACCCGAACTGAGAAACTCGCTGCACAACAAGAGTACACTGAAGTAAACCGGGAGGTAAAGAATTCCATCAAGAAGGACAAGAATACCTACCTGAATGGCCTGGCCGAAAAGGCAGAGAAAGCAGCAACAGACGGGCACTTGAGGATTGTACACCAGACTACAAGAACTCTTTCAGGTAGGTTCAGCAAGCCCACTCTACCAGTGAAAGACAAAGAAGGAAAGACTATCTTCAACCCAGAGGGGCAACTAAACCGATGGAGATCGATTTTTGATCAACTACTGAACAGACCACCTCCAGAAAACCAACCAGAAATTCTTCCAGCCAGAAATGACCTCCCAATAGACACGGAACCACCTTCAAGAGAGGAAATTGCAGCCGCTATAAAAACACTGAAGTCCTACAAGGCAGCTGGTCCCGACCATATACCACCGGAAGCCCTTAAGGCAGAGAAAGATACATTTGTGGAAATTCTATATGCTCTATTTGAAAAAGTTTGGCAAAAGGAGGAAATACCATCAGACTGGAAGGAAGGCCACCTAATCAAGCTGCCAAAGAAAGGAGACCTCAGCAACTGTAACAACTACAGAGGCATTAAACTCCTTTCCATACCTGGGAAAGTCTTCAACAGGATAGTCCTGGAGAGAATCAAGCTGGCAACGGATGAGAAGCTTTGAGGAAACCAGGCAGGATTCCGCAAAAACCGATCATGTGTGGACCAGATCGCTACTCTACGTATCATTGTTGAGCAATCGCTTGAATGGAATTCACCACTCGTGGTCAACTTCATTGACTATGAAAAGGCGTTTGACGACGTGGACAGGGAAACTCTGTGGAAACTCGTGCGGCATTTTGGAATACCTGAGAAAATCGTCAAGCTTGTGAAGGCCACCTATGATGGAACAAGCTGCCAAGTCTTCCACGAAGGACAACTCTCAGAACCATTCCGGGTACAGACAGGAGTGCGACAAGGATGCTTGCTCTCACCTTTTCTCTTCGTACTGGCAATTGACTGGGTCATGAAAGAAGCCACCAGAGGCAAACGTAATGGAATACAATGGATCCCTTGGCAGCAGCTGGACGACTTGGACTTCGCCGATGACCTTGCACTGCTCTCTCACACACATGCTCAGATGCAAGAAAAGACCAAGGAACTCAACAGCCTATCAAGGAGTGTTGGCCTACGTATACATCCAGGCAAGTCAAAAGTAGTGAAGCTAGGAAACGTTTCAAACCTTGCTGTGACAGTGGAAGACACTCCCCTTGAAGAAGTGGACTCCTTTACCTACCTTGGAAGTGTCATCGATGGTAAAGGTGGAACCGAGGCAGATGTTAAAGCAAGAACCGCCAAGGCAAGGTCAGCCTTCAAGCAATTATCAAAAGTCTGGAAAGCAAGCAACATCTCACTGAGCACCAAGATTCGACTTTTTAACTCCAACGTCAAGTCTGTGCTCCTCTACGGCTGCGAAACTTGGAAGACAACGAAGACAGTACTGAATAAGGTCCAGACTTTCATCAACAGATGTATGAGGAGTATTTAAAGAATTAAGTGGCAGGATAGAATAAGAAATGAAGAGCTGTGGGAAAGGACAGGACAAAAGGATATAGAAGTAGAAATAGGACTAAGAAAGTGGCGATGGATGGGACACACCTTAAGAAAGCCCAGCGGAAACATCACAAGACAGTCACTGCAGTGGAACCCACAGGGAGCACGAGGCAGGGGTAGGCCACGGGAAACATGGAGGAGATGCGTGGAAAGGGACATGAGAGAAATGAAGCTCACTTGGAACGAGCTTGGAAGGATGGCTCAGGGCAGAGATAAATGGAAGGAGCTTGTATGTGGCCTATAACCTGCCAGGGGTGAAAGGCATTGATGATGATTGATGAATAACACCTTTTCGTTAAAAAGAAGTCTGTGGTGAAGATTTCGTACAAGAAGTTGTAACCGAAATGGTGGTCTGCAACCCGAACTGGGGTGGATTGTGTTTGGTTTTAAATTTCAATTTAGACAAACTCCAGTAGGCTTAAAGAGCTTTAAAACGTAAAGTCAGACCTGTAAGCAGACTCTGTGTGTGTTGGGTTTGGTCTTGAAATCAAAGCACTGATGACGTTAGAAGGGGACATTTTTTTTCTCTGAAGGATCAGTTCAAATGTTTGAAAATGTAGACAGTCATGTGTGTAACCGATCGTGGATAAACTATAAACAAATAAACTTGAAGCTTAGGCCCTGGCCATGAATTTGGAGACAACCAACTCAGATTCTAATCTCAGATGTCACTCCTCTTCAAAAAGTGTATTGTATCGTTATGTTGTACGCCCCTATCAATCATCATCAATCATCAATGCCTTTCACCCCTGGCAGGGTATAGGCCACATACAAGCTCCTTCCATTTATCTCTGTCCTGAGCCATCCTTCCAAGCTCGTTCCAAGTGAGCTTCATTTCTCTCATGTCCCTTTCCACGCATCTCCTCCATGTTTCCCGTGGCCTACCCCTGCCTCGTGCTCCTTGTGGGTTTCACTGCAGTGACTGTCTTGCCCCTATCAATGCTTAAAGTTTATTCACGAGCCGTCTACTTCAAACTGCCTGTCAGGGCCAACCTGTGCTGTGTGGAATACAATATCCCAGCAACAATATAACATACCAGGGAGTGCTTGTGGGAATCAGTTAAACCATCACTTCACCCTCACCTTCACCTATCCCATAGACTTAATGTCCATTGGGGCGCTTTTTAAAGATTTCGCCACCAGCTTCCTCCACTCCTTCCGGTCTACAGCTTTCCTGAACGTGTCTTTATTTCAAGACCTGTCCATTCCGTGATGATGTCCTCCCAACTCTTCTTCGGTCTGCCTGTTAAACCATACAGAGAATAAAATGTAGTAAAGTTCTCCTGAAGACCTGTGCTATTTTTTAAACCAAATTATTGAGCATTATTTTTTAATGAAGAAAAACCCTTCAAAGATCTCAACATTTCTAGTCAGTGTTCTGACTTTTGTCACTAGAGTTATCGACCACATATGAATAATCATATGGACACTTTATATTTCTTGTTGTGAGAAGAGTTTGTACTTTGTTTTTATTTATGTTTTCGCATGTCAAAACTAGTTTGAAATTGCAGATGCTAGAATAGATCTAACATTAAGATGCTATCTTTACTAAGCTTAAACAGTCGAACCTGTGTAAGACAGCCACCCATTGTCGAGGAGAAAAGTGTCCGTATAAGACAAGTGGCCGTCTTAGGCAGGACTGATCCAAATGAAGAAAACAAACCATTCCCTTTTGAGGTCCCAACTGAAGGTAGCCGCATTGTTGTTGTTGTTTTCGTTCTTTGTTTGCTTTTTTTTTGTTGCTGATTTTGTGGAAGGGTGACAACAAAACGAAATGTGTCATACGAGGAAGACCGAGTGCCATGGTAAAACAAACACATGGGTTGTCACCTCTCGGAGAACGAGCGATGCTTGTGTCGCAAGTTCTTGTTGACGTCCATTGTTTTGTTACTTTTGTTACAGACTGGGAAACAGTAACCACTCCTCTCACTTACGATTTGTGTATGAGTTCCGGGCGGGGCTTATGGGTTGTGAGGGATCACACGCTTACGGTGGCATACCTCACCAGCAGCTGAAAATTTGTTACCTATTGGTCAACAGTGGGAGGGGAAAACGCAACATGATCGGTTGGTGGGACTACCTAACAACAAAGACAGGTGATTGGGTTATGAAGATTGCCCACAATGCCAGGGGCCAATACATCATTTATGACAAAACGTAATGGAGTCACTGAGGTTGCTGTCTAAGACAGGGTTATTGTTTGGTGTGATGGGGTTGTGTATTAAAATATGGTGGCTGCTGCCGTGCTGGACAGGTGGCCGTTTTACACAGTGAAATTATATAGAAAAAACGCAAGAGGGGAAATAAAAAGTGGCCGTTTGTACAGGTGGCCATCTTATAGAGGTGGCCGTCATGGCAGGTTCGACTGTATTTGTATGGCACTCTAAAACATACATTTTTAAATCCTTTTAAAAATTATCTTCAGTCTCATTGTATAGATCATTGTGAGTAACAGGGTTTCAGTTGCTGTAGAGCAGAAGGTTACAAGTGTGATTTAGTATGTAGAAGTTTGAGCTTTGAATTTGAAGAGGATCTGAATGATTTTTAGCATATTTCACCCAACATTTCCTCTCTGCTTTGTGTACTATGAAGTCAAAGTCCATAACTTTCAAAGTGATTATATATGGTTTTTACTAAGGCGTTAAAACTTTCAACTACAGCGTCAAATAATGGACTGCTAGAAGAGGATTGTAATGTAAAATTAGATTTGAGATAAGAGAAGTCAGTACTACTGCAATTTTTTTTCTTTTCTTTTTCTCAGGTTGAGCGTTTCTTCTGAAATGTCCGGCATCTTCTTAAAGCGTGTCAGTTTTGATGATGCAGGGATGTATCTGGCCCAAGCCACTTTGGACTATGGTCAAGTGTGGACTCGATCCACGAATCTCACTGTTCATAGTAAGTTGTCAATCTTTCTAAGATAGGATTGTGTACTTGTCTGAAATAAAGTGAAGCTTTGAGTCACAGGAATGTTGCGTTTTGTGTGTTTGTGTGTGTGTCTGTGTGTGTGTTTGGTGGGGAGGGGGTGGGGGTGGATTTTGATGTAAGTGTGTGTTTATCTTTATGGATATTGTTTTATTGTTTTCTCCATTGTTTTCACCCTGTTTGACCATTCTATGCCCGAGAGGAAAGGTGTTCAGGAGAGTGGAAAAACTGTTCCTTTCTTTTTTCAACTCTTCCCATACTGTAAATCTCAGTCCAAGGGTATGGTTGAGTTCTTGTACGTGTGTGTTAGTCAGCAAAATATGTGAGAGAGTGAGTGTGAGAAAGAGAGAGAGAGAGAGGGGGGGGAAGGGAGGAAATTTTAAAAAATAGTTATGTTGTGAGGTGTCAGTTTATTATTGTGTACACTGTTGCTGTGTAATCCTATGAGGTTCTTTACATAATTTTTTAGTTCGTCCGATTGTCATTGGAGGGCGACTTAACTTAAGTCAGACAGAGAGTATTGCTGCATCAGGGGGTCAAGGTCACTGCGTCAGCCTGGTATGCGGGACGTTGGAGTATGCAGGTTACCCCCCAGCTCAGTTCGCCTGGAGTGTAAGTCTTTTGCATACCATAGTTCATAATTCTCTCCTGTTTTTTTTAACTTGTTCGCTACGTATTATTTTCGGCTTGTGGGCGAATTTTTTTCGGGAAGGTGAATGAGGTGATGACTAGTGGGCAGTTAAAAGGTCTTTGGGGCCTCAAATTCAAATTTAATATCAACGTATTATATACCAATATTTTCAGTATGGTTTGTAGAATACATCTGTAATGTTTATTTATGTATTTTTCAACTTTGGTTCCCGTAAGAGGCGATTATGCAACACAATTTTGATTGGATGCGGATAAAATTTGAAAATAAAAAATTAATAATCTTTGGGGAAACTCTAAAAATATGTTTGCACCTAGTGAAATGATACATCAAAATAACCATAAATGAATATAGAACTGGAAAATGTTGAAAAGTTTGCAGTTATTTACATACATTCCATAATATTTGTACATTTGGATCATAACATCCGATATTGAAAAAAAATAATACATTTTTATAATCTTGAAAAACGATCACAAACAGAAAAAAACCCACTCGTATCTTACATGAAATTATTCAGAATTGCATTTGGAATAAACCTATACATGTTTTGAGTGGCACTTTTTGTGTAATTTCATTTTAAAAAGTAGTGATTTTGGGGAGAAAAAAATATTTTGACAATTTAGATCTAGACCTAGATCTAGCACTCAAAAATATTGATTTCTCAATAACAGTGCATTGGCAACAGGGGCGAAGGCTGACTTGTTTGACAGGGTAATCAAAGTGAAACGGGACCAGATATGGCCTGGGGATATCGCCCAAGAACCTTGCTCGAGGCGGCGACTCAGAGTTGTGAATGAAAGCAAATCCGGAATTCATTATTGTATGTTCAACCGCCAAAATAATCGGGAAAGAATCTCATTAAATATAAATTCCAATTAAAATTAAATTTAACTTTAGATGTGAATACACAAACACAAAGCAAAGAAGCAGAGATGTCAGTACTAGATCTATATGTTATAGATCTACCAGGGAGTCTAACTCTTTGGTAGAACATGACAATTATCATTTTTAAAATTTCACATTTGGTTGTTTTTTGTCTAGCCTTTCGCGGCCACGAGCCTGTGTCATAATCGAGGTCACGATCTGATTATAGGGCAGTAAAAAGTCGAGGAAAAAAAACAAGCTCTCGCAGCAGTGAGAGATTATTAGGAGTTAGTTCCCCTCACATCTGTGAGGTAGACTCGACCAGTGTAATAGTTAACTTACCTAATCAGTGCTTGAGACTGATTATAACTGTGGCCCGAAAGGGGTGAACAGGGTATATGTGGCAATGAAACAGTTTAGACTGCTATGCACATGTTCCCTTCAACTGTGTTGATAGACTCTTCCAGTCTACCTTTAAGCTTACTTAATCAAAGCTTATGACTGCTTATGGAGTGGCCCAAGAGGGGAGAACAGGCTATTTCTGTGGCAATGAAACCGTTTAGAATGTTAGGCATACTGTTCATTGTTGATTATGAACGTCTTTTTACATTTAATTTATGAAGTTCACGTTTATGGGTGAATTTGACTGCGACAATGTTTCAAAATTAGGAAGGGAAGCTGTGATTATTTGATTATATAGACGCTTCGCCTCTAATTGGCAATATCATGAATATGAGTCCAATCGTATCAATATTATAAAAAAGAGTCCTATATTTTTTTAGTGGGCAAAATAATGATAGATTTTGTTGTGTAAAATTACTAAGACTGGTGTCCGGGCTATAATTTTGGTATCGCGATAAAACAAAGTCGAATAAACTACGAAATCTGGTTTCTAAACTGAGTCTAAATTTCAGATTTTCAGTGGAAATGCTTGACCCGGAAGTCAACATTATATTATGACCTTTATTTTAACATGGATATGTGGATTGGAATAGAATCTAAGCTAAAATTGAAGATCGGTTCTCGAGCCGCCGGGGGCGGTTAGCGTACTGATGGCACTTTAGCCGCGCCGCCCCCCCCCCCTCGGCTTGGCGTTGCGAATGAGTTAACTTGTACTGAAAATGGTTTCTTTTTTTTTTTTTCCTCAAACTCTCATAATTGGCTCCGATTTATTGAAAAGATTACTAAAATTTGAAAGCCACTGAAGTGTTTAGTGATCTTCATAAGGCACATTATGTCTTTTTTATTTCTTTTGAATTCCCAGTTTTTACCCCATGTGTCTGCCATTCATATATGCATTCATGTCTACTGCACAAAATGTAGCTGTTTTGTCATGTTTCCTTTTCTTTCACCTCACAGCCTTGCCTGTGACTCTAACCTCTTCACTTGCCTTGTTTTCTCCAGAATTGTTTCACTGCCATTTTGTCTACTAGTTGATAGGGGAAGTATATATATGGAAATGTAATTGGGCTGTTCTTTTTTCTCTCAAGTGAGAGGAAAGATACTATGGGTTTTCTTAAATCTTTCTTGAATGAGCTTGTCTTTACAACCATTGATGGAAATGTCTAGAGGTTAGACTACCGGACTCGTAATCATGAGATTGCAGGTTTGGGAGCTCGAGCCTCAGCTCGGTTCGACGTTGTGTCCCTGGGAAAGGCACTTTACATGAATTTCCCACTTGACTCGCTCCTTTCGGAGATGGACGTTAAACTCGGAGGTCCCGCATCTTAAATAACCTAATAGTGTTGATAGGAGTGTTAAACCTTTACCATTTCACCATTTTTATCACATCTCAGCAATGAAGGGGTTAAGGGGCTGTCAAAATTCTCTTTTCATGGGATGATCCTTTGACAAGCAGGGTTTGAACCGATGTGTATTTTCCTTTTTTGTGTGAAGGGAACCATTGTGTTTTTTGCATTTTTTGGTCTAAGTTAAAAAGAAAATTAATTAATTTATATTTGCATCATTTATATTCAACATTTGTATTATTTCTATTCATGCAAAAAATCTACCTTTCACCTCTAGAAATTTCCATGTGAAAACTTTTTCTTTCATAGGCTCCAGGGAAGACTTTGTCTGGAAAAACAACCTCGGATGATACTGCCAGTTCTGTCCAGGTTTGCTCCCCTTTCCAGGGCGAGGTCACTTGCTCCCTGGTTGGCTTCTCCTCAGTGTGCACCTATGACCACGTGGTCTCTCTCCATCTTGATCTTCCGGGTAAGTGATTGTCAGGAAGTTGTGTCCTGATACAGCTGCAGTATTTTTCTCTTCTTGGACGTTTGTGGAGTGGGTTATTTAGATCAGTGAGTTAGTTCATCACGAGAGAGTGGATTTTAAATCTTTGCCTGGTAGTTTTGAGGCCCTGATTTTGATTCTGGCGAGTATTCGGTGTGTCATATTTCCTGGAAATATCCGTGGCTGTTTGAAAATGGTTCAGTCAAGTGGAGTTCAAATAAAATGGACAACCTCCTCTTAAATGACTTGAATGCCGTGAAGGGGGTATTGAATGAACCCAAAAACAAATGGTGTGGGTCGCTTTCCATGCTTTTATTATTTTTAAAATTTGAAAAACCTTTTGAACTTGTGTCTATGATATAGGGGTTAGATGCTTTGTTGTGGCATGCAAGAGACCCGGGTTTGATTGGAAGCTTGTCCCCAAATTTATCTAAATTGTGATAGTTCTGGAGAGGGAGGGGGGCCTGTAAAAACACGTACTTAAAAAAATAAAGATAAAAACTATATTTTGGTTGTTTATTTGGTATTGGTCTTCTCTTCTTGTGTTTAGTAATCGAACTACTAATGACATTTACTTTTAGCAAAATGTGAATATGAAAAATACCTAAGTTTGACTGAAATCTAAATTATTGGGGATTGATAGACAAGTCCCTTGATCATAGTTTTGTAATGATTGTGTTGTTATGATTATGTTATATACAAGACTGTGTTACATTGCCTTTCCACCATGAAAGTTATTTGCGGTGGTCACATCTATCTCCAGGTCCTCCGGCCAATGCTAGCAGTGTCCACCAGTCTAAGGTGACCCGTGACCTGGTTCTGATGATTGTCATGCCAGTGCTGGCCATTGCTTTGCCGCTGACCATCCTAGGCATCTGGGTGCTGAGTCACCTGCTCAAGTCTTACCCGCAGTACAGAGAGCATCGGCACTATGAGAAGTAGGTCTTTTTTTGGTCTTCGTTTGTGCTGCACAGCGGCAGCCAGTAATGGCATGTTTGAAAAATTGTCTGCATTTGTGTAATATCATGTATTTGGTATTATTTCTATGCCTATTCGTGTGTATGAATATGTATTTGTGTATGTATGTTTGCTGTTGTAACCCAAATTTCCTAACTGGGATCAGTAAAATGCTATTTGTTTTATATATCTAACTAATTGTTTTAGCTACCAGTATAGGATTTGTGGTTTTATCTGAGTGGTTGCTCTTGGCTTTTGTCCTTTCTTGAATATGGTCACATGGCTGTTCGCGAGCAGTACTTTAGTTTCTACCGGCACCCTGCAGCGTCCCGACGCTCAGCGTTACTCGAACCAGCCATTACCAATGGGTCAAGAGGTCAGCGCAGGGAATTTTACCTGACTAACAGATTCGCGATGAAAATGTTATTGCTGCAGTTTTCAGCTTTGTTTAACCTGCGACTAAGCCCAAACTACAACACCAACTGTGCATAAAACCGTATACTTTGAATGAGCATCATCTGACATATTTGTTAGAGCAATCATGCAACTAATTAAGATGAAGAAATACAAGATGACGAAGAATGAAAAGTGGAAACATTGATAGAGGGTCATGATTTATTTCATTAAATTTGAACATGTTAGCTGCTGTCGATTTTAACAATTCTAAGATATTGGGTCCGAAATTGAGTAAAGTTTAAAAATCACTTGGCTGCATCTGTGTGTCGTTGCCTAAAGAAAAGATATTAAGTCTAGAGTGGAGATTCTTGGCTATTCGCAATATGTCCGCAGTTCCCAAAGTCCAGCTGTCACATGTGACGACTTTTGATAAAAACGTATCACTCTAGGATCGCGGGTATCACCAGTCAGGGTGTCAGCACTTGTTACTGCATTTAAGCCTACTGTCACAATATTGGTAAACACACTATATCATTATTATTACATTTTAAGAGATGCTAGATCTAGATTTGAAACAAAACACATACAAAAAAATCTTGTGAACACTGAACAAAAAACTTCTATATCATATTAAAGAAGAAAAAAGTCACAGAAAAACGACACAATTTGAAACTTGCACAATTTGTACAGTATACCTCTCCCTACTAGATTTATAAAAAGAATTGAAACTGATGGTGAATTTACGAAGTTATTGACGTTTAAAAATTCAAATAACACTGAAAAAGGATCCGACTCGATAGAAATATGTCTCAGGGAACGTATAGATCTATGTAATTTTTAAAAAAGTTAATAAAAAATCACAGAAAAACGACACAAATTTGAACCTTGCACTGATGGTGAGTTTACAAGGTTATTGATGTTTAAAATTCAAATAACACTGAAAAACGAATCCGATTTCCATAGAAACACGTCTTGGAGAAGGTCTATATATGTTTTAAAAATTAATTAAAAATCACATAAAAACGACACAAAGTTGAAACTTGCACAATTTGTGCAGTATACCTACTAGATTTTGAAGAAAGAAATGACAGTGATGGTGGCTTTACGAAGTTATTGGCGTTTAAATTCAAATAACACTGAAAAAAGAATCCGATTCGATAGAAACATGTCTTGGAGAACGTAGTTCGATAAATTCAAGGTTGTGAACTGAGATCGACCAAAGCTATATCGTCTTGTAGGGGGAAAGCTGGGCTTTAAAATGGTGGGTCATATGGTGATATCACATCTTCAGATCTGGAGATATCGGGGTGGGAATGACACCATAATTTGGAGGAAATGTATTACGCGGGCAGGCGGGGGCGTGCCACTGGCGTCACGGTAGTGAGCACGGCTGACCGCGGATTTAATGACCAACACATGGGTGGCACTGACCGCTGGCACGGAGCAACTAAAGGAGCGGTATCCGGGCGAGTTGAACAGCCGTGGTCAGCTTTTTCCGATGTCTTTGTGTCATTGTTGCTGGTGTCATCGCTGCTGTTGTCATTTGTTTTGTTTTCACAGTCGATTTTGTCATTGTTGGTATTCTCATTGATGTGGCTTTCATCGGTTTTGTTGCCGTTGGTGTTGTTGTCATTGGTGTTGTGTTTTGTTATTCATTCTGTTTATTGATAAAGTAGCCTTTTAATACATTCTCTGTGGCCCAATGCTATGTTGGAGGCGATGGATATCATTGTAAAATATTTTCTTGTTGTGTGGGGGTGTAGATTAGATTGGATGTGGGAGAAAAAAACATATTGATATTCACATCAACAACAGATTTATACCATGGTAGCGTCCGAAGTGTGAATCCCTTGACTCTACTTACTGCTGTGAAGGAAAGCAAATGGGTGCCAGTCAAGAGGTCATGAGGTTTTGTCTTATTTTTAATTTCTCATGTGTTCATCATCAAGTTTCATTTGCTCTATCAAATACTTTGGAATAATGAATAAAAATGTGTGCAAAGTGACATTCACGTCTGGATACCTCATGCGTAGACTGAATATGTCGTCCCTATATAGTCCCTATGTTCTGAGTAGATCATTTATGTTAGTCACCAGTTTGGCTCAGTTGGTATAAATTTGATCTTCTTGTAGAAGTCTAAGGTTTGAATCTGAGTGGGGTCTGAATTATTTATCTAGATATGATGTCGTATCAAGAAGGGCCCAAGTGCTTTCTCCTCTTCAAAATGTAAAATTTCACATATGGCATCAAATATCAACAGGAAATTATTTTTTTTTACTATTAAAAAAATCTTTCCTCATTTAGTTTGCGTGTCGCGTTTTTTTTTTTTTTTTCAAGTGATCTTTATTAACTTTGGCTTTGTCAGTGACCCAGTTTGCTTGCATGTAGAACTTGTGTTAAAAATGGTCAACATGCTAGTGCTAAACTGATTTTCCCTATAACTCTTCATTGTTCAAGACTGATCATTGTTGGTGTTGGTCCTTTGGTGGTCTGTGGGCCTCCTACGTTTGACTTTATGTTCACTGTTGTTGTTCCACTTTTTTCTCAGCACTAGATGTGCCTGTGCATTATTCATGCATCATGTGTTGTTAACAAAATAAGGGGTCTGATCATTATTTTATGGAGAAAAAAATAGAATATTTTTAAGGCAGGTTCAAGAGAGATTAAATGTTGATATGTTTCAAAACACAATGTATGATCTGGTAAGGGAAGCAACACATTTTTAAACTCACTGGAAAGGTAGTTTCTGTAAGAGATATAGATATTTTGATGATGCAGATTTAAGTCTAGCTTTGGATGGCGTTGGCAGCCTAGTGGTCAGGCTATCGGACTCATAATTAAGAGGTTTTGGGTTCGGGGGTTTAAGCCTCAGCTTGGTCTGACATTGTGTCCTCTGGAATAGCACTTTACATTAAATTCCCATTTTGGCTTGGTCCTTTCAGAAATGGGCATTAAACTTGGAGGTCTTCCCTCTTAAATAACCTAATAGTGTTGACAGAGGCATTAATTGCATACCATTGTGACTTTGAATGACTGGATGACCGACCACTCGAAAGTTTACTGTGAGTGGTTGGCGGGTGCTCTCTTGTGGTTTGCTCCTTCTTTCCTATCAAATATCTGTCGTCCTTTTCTCCCTTCTAATCTTCGGCCCTTATATGACCTTATTTTGTTGCAAGTGCCGTAATCCTCTTTCTAAAACTAAAAAGTTTACAGGAAATTCTGCTCTATTCTATACAGCATTTAGAGCAGGCATGGGAAGTGTGTCCTAGTCACGAGCCAGATTAAAAGATTCCTAAAATCTCATGGGCTTAAAGCAGGAGAAAATTGGGTGAAATCAGTGGAAATGCCCAAGCTCTCAAAAATTAAGATTTCAACTGACACTACAGCATACCACTCAGAGAAGTTTTTTGAGATGAAATATAAGACCTATTGCTTCCATCAGGACAGGAAACTGTTATTTTGATTTTCAAAACGGACAGTTTTGTTTTCATGTCAACTCACCGCAAGCCTCCTTCATTATTGATTACTGGGTCGACTTCCAAGTATAATTTATTCTCTCTTATAATTCCGTTTCAAGAAACAGCTGATTATATCATCAACCTCCCATGGTAGTGGAACAGAAGAGTCATAGCGTTCCATTAGATAACTATCCTCATCGGTGGAAATTAATAAATTCACCCTTATGTATTGTAAGAGGTGTAACTCTCATGAAGTTGAAGATGAATTTCACTTTATTTTCTATAGTCCAAATTTTTGTACATCAAAGGAAATTGTTCATTCCTCCCAGCCTGGCTCGGCCCTGTGACAGAAATATGCAACGTTTGATAAGAGATAGGTGCACAACATGTGCTTTTTCATTATGGAAACTTTATATAACAAATGAGTGATGTGGGCCAATGGCTTTAAACACTGAATAAACTTACATACTTACTGGGTCGACTTGTGGGCAAGACTGAAATTGCTCACAGGCTGATCTAGATGTTTAATTTTTTTTATTAGGTTACTTTACAAAGAAAACCTCAATAGTAGTTTAAATTTGGTGAGAAACTTTTGAGCTCTAATAATATATAGAGAGATTTGTGTATATTCTCACTAGGTTATGTTGACTTTGTTCTTAGTCATCATGTTCAGTTCTATGTCATATTCTTGGCAGTTTGATGTATACTTTTTTTGTTTGTTGTATTTTTCCTCTCCAGACAGCATTCAAACAAAAGGGATCGCTTGTCAACTGCTGCGTTAATAGAATTAGATTCATTGTTGCCCAGGTGCAATTTTAAGTTATGCTTTTGTTTCTCCCTTTAAAGATATTATTATTTTGTTGTTTTTTTTGCTTTTTGGCTCCGATCAAGGCAAGTTCACATAATGTAGCTAACTTTTTTGCTTCTTCTGCGTGATCGATCTAGTATATGTACTGACTCTGTTATCATTAATTATATGCTTTCATGCGAATGAGTGTACTGTAAAAAGAAAAGCTGCTTGCTGCCATTTTGCTGGTTTTCTACTCATGTTGGAACAGGCCAACAACTGGGTCTCTCCCATCTTGTCAAAAGTGATTTTTCTTTCTCTTTATTTGTGGGAAGAGGGTACTTTTAAAAAAAGAAAACCCTGGATTAGATTGCTTGATTGTTTATCATTTAATTATAAATTGCGGGAAGACTTTCAGTGTTGAGTGGGTTATTTGAAATTTCAGTATATTTTATTAAAAACCCAACTAAAATGGGTATGTTAAAAAGTGTTATTATAGTTCTTTAATAATGTGCTGCTATTCGGAAAGAATGTAATTACTTCAAAGACACTTACATAGCCATCATATAAAGAAGTCTGGTATGTGCATTTTAAGAATTGTTTTGAATATCTCCACAAACATCTGTTTTATCAATTAAGGGCCTTTATATCATCATATAACTAATTTTAGAGAAGAAGAAAAGATGACGTCTTTATTTTGAATGAATTAAGTGGGTGTTGCCTTGTTTCTATATCTTATGTCTAACATTTGTCCTTAATGTATGGTGCCTTCTGTAATGCTTTTTGTTAAGATCCTCGCAATGCTTCATTTCTTTTTGCTCTTGCACTGCATGGGTGACTCGCTACATTCGTGTAATTTTTCCTGGTATGAATGGATTGGCATTGATGTTAAAATTTGCTGACAAGGACTTCTTAACTTGCTTTTATGAATAACTGCCTGTCCCTGTGGAGCAAGTAAGAAGTGGTGCAATTATTGTCTACTAATATGATTTTATGGTTTGAGAGGAGCTTGGAGAATAAAGTTTTGCTACCTCGTGCTTTTGATTTGTTTTTTTGGGGGGATTAGGATGAATTTTTCTGTAAAATCAGTTGCTCAAGTACGTTAAACAAGACTGCTTTTCCACATGTAAGAAAAGAATAATTATTCAGACAGAATAATTTTGTTGAGTGCTAAGACTTAAAGAAATGAGATTTAATTTTATGCAAATGAAGTTCGTAACATTTCAAAAGACTCCGCATTCCATTTTTGTAGTGAAATCGTTGAAGAACAGGATCTTAAAGATGGTCATGAAGTGCAAGTAAGGAAAAAACAGTCTTTGTGTTACTTTTTGCGTCTGGAGCCTCTCTTCCCCCTGTAGTATTTTGTTAGTAAGTTTTACTTTAAAAAAAAAAAAGAAAAAGATTTTAAATATGTATCATTCTTACTCAGCATCTTTACTTTTCTTTCTCTCACAAAAAACTACCTCATGGGGTTAAGATGTAACTTGAATTTATATGTCTATTGACTTACTTTTCTATAACAGTCTCTATCTCTTTTCACATGGTATAGAGCTATGATTCGCACATATCAGCCCCTTAACACCCTTGCGCTGCTAAACTTTTTTTGCTCTTATAAAACAGTGTACTCTATTGTCATATGTTATTGGGAAATATGAATGCTGCTGCATGATTGCTCAACTCAGGACTGTAGGTTGTTTTTATTTGTTCATATAATTTCGATCAACCTAATGCTACACTTTCTTGATATTACTCAAAGTAGTTGCTTATGTCTGATTTCCAAACTTTCTTGGTACTTTGGAAAATTACTGTAAAATCCTATTTGAACAAAACTACCATGCTAATGTGGGCCTTCTAAAGTACAAAGTTTTGTTTACTTTAATTTAAGATATTTATGTTTTGGTGTGGGCTACTGGGATTTGTCAGTCCTTTTCCTTTATTTTGAAATGTGCTGAAAAAGATAAAATGCTGATTTAACCTTTATATTGTCAAATTGGTGTGAGAAGAGATTATTCACTGTGTTACTGATTTTTAGTTTCAATCTCATCTTGCACAGGGGTGGTCGGAAGGTGTCACTACTAATATGTCCTATTTCATTCCTCCCTCTCTGTTGTTTTTATCTATTATTCTTAATTTTTCCTATCTTCAAATGGCTTTTATTGTTATTATCCATGTTCTTCTTTTCACTCAAATCAAAGCAAACTGAGAGAAGCATCTTGCTTTTGAATCACTGTGTGCAATCTGACATTTTCAAGTGAAATGACTTGCCAATTTGATGTAATGGTTAGGCTCCTTGCGATATCATGCACAAGGTGTAAGCTTGATTCCCATGTGGGTAATTATTATATCAAATATCACCAATTGTCTGCTGGAATACTACTTTGTTCCACTAGGCCCAGCCAGGTTGACCCTAACAACCAGGGTGGAAGCCCCCCACCCCCCTCCCCCTCTTAATGATCTAAATTGTGCCAAGTAGGGCGTGTAACAGTTACAACAAGTCAACTACAGCCAGATAATTAGGTAATCTAGTTAAATGTGAGTTAACTTCCTTTTGCAAGATATCCAGGCTTTTGATTAGAACCTGTTCATGAGAATGGATAAGACTGTGATGGATTTGCCATCTAACAGCTAAGATATTGACATCAATGATATAAGCAATACACTTAATTAATCTACAACATGTCTTCACGAGAACTAACCAAAGGAATGTCTTGTGATATCAGTCTTGATTTAAAAAAAATGATGTCACAAAAAAGAAAAGTTTTGGCTGTGGAGGTAATAAGATGGAGCTCACTAAAGAAAACATCCATGATAAATATCCGTCTTTACAAGAACTTATTGATATGTCTGTATATTTTTTTTTTGGTTAGTGCAAAGTATTATTCATGGAGAACTTTGTATAATAAAATGTGTGCCCGTTGGACACCCTATTTACTAACTGAAAAACCTAGAAGAGAGGGGTTTAAATTGCCACAGAGTGCAATGAATGAGAATATAGTAAAAAGGGGCTAATGATAAATCCTTACCTTCTTTGATTATCTGTGTTCATTTTGATTACTATTTGTTCCATATACTATGATTTGTTTAAATCAGTGGTTAGTTTGCAGATTTTCTCTCTATTGTATTTTTCATTTACCTGGGTATAGGTGTGGAGTATAAGTCTTTATTTCAAATTTATTTGTATTTCTGTATGTAGGAACACTGCCCAAAGTCACTTCTAAGGTTTAATTGTTTTTTTTCTATTTCTAGTCATGATCCACCAGTGACGGGGGATGTGGAGGGAGGTGGGCCCCCTGATCAGACGGTACTTCTCACAGGCGGAGGTGGGGAGGGAGATGGTGACCATGTACAGAATCAGCCTCACAGAATGGCCTCAGAGCAGGACCGTGCAGAGGAGGAAGAGGAGGACAATGATAACAGGAAAGAGGACAATGGAGATGAGAGTGAGACCGATGTGAAGAATGGGGACATCCGGGAGGAGGAGGAGGAGGAGGAGGATGATGAGCAGAGCCAGAGTAGTGAGGATGAGAACAAAGTGAATGAGGAGCAGCCGCTTATGGAAGGTATGAACTCAGGCCTGAGGCGGTGATCCTCTTCTGTAAATTTAACTCCTCAGATGCCACAACTGGCTGTAAATCTAAATTAATATATGTAGTTCTTGTTATGTTATTTATTGTGGTCTCCCTTAGTTTGTACAAAACCCCCCCAGGGTTTCTGCAGTGATTTATTGATCTCTCCGTTGCCAGGAATGTTACGTGATCTCATTAGAAAGCTGAGAACTGCCCCGGGCAAGGTTGTGAAGGAGTCTGGGTAAAAGGATATGCAACTTTGAGCTGTGGCTAGTCACATTATCATGTTTTGCTAAAAAAGTTTATGAAGGCTCCCTTTTTTGGGACAGTGGAAAAACTCATGGCAAGTTCAGTGTCCTGGCTTTAGAAATGAGATGGGAGAAAACCATAGTTCTACAGACTCAATTATGACGTTGTCCGTCATAAGGATGGCGAAACTGTTATTTAAATAAATAATAATACAAAATTGGATTTAGTTGCAAGTCTGGACTTGTGTTTCAAAAGTTTTTGTTTGGGAGGGACAGTTGTATGAAAAAGAATTTTACAGAAAGAGACGTAACATGAAGTATGATCTAGCTAGGTAAGCTTAGCTTATTACAGAAACTATTGTGTGATGTAAAGTAAGGTTAGTTTTATCAAAGATACTACACTCTACGGTAAGATGCTGCAGGTGCCTCTTTCCCTCTGTAAAAAAAACGTAGCACACATAAAATAAGCCACGCCCCCAGCGAGCATGTGACTGAGCCCCGGTGGCTTGGCCCTGGGCTTGTTGGATAGAGTATGAGAGCGTCCTAATTAATCCTACTCTAGGGCCCATTCTAATCTAGATCTAGATCTAAATAATTATATAGATCTATCTACCAAACTAAAGTATTGATCAACATATTTCAATAATTTATCTAGATCTAAATTATTTTAAAAGAAAAACATTAGATTTAAATATAGTCTCACTTCGGTAACGAGTGATAAGATCAGAGGATAAATCTAGTGTACTGGTACCGGGCACCGGGTGCATAGGCTCAAAATCTACTAAATCTAGATCTAGGCCTTGACATTGACAATCACGAAATCTAGGCCTAGAATATATCCAATGCAATATTATTGATTGTATTGATGAGATAGTATTGATGACAGGATCTTTAGGAGTATGCATTATTAGAAATCAAAAGATAGTGTCAATTAGTATTATCCAGGGAACGCTGTAATAGCAGGAGAGGGGGGGGGGGGGAGAAGGGGGGGGAGGGAGGGAGGGAGAGAACTAATAAGCTACTACAGTTAAAACGACAAACATGCACACAGAGAGATGGATGAATGGGTGACTGAGTGAGTGAGAGAGAGGGGGGGGAGGGGGAGAGATAGAGAGAGAGAGAGAGAGAGAGAGAGAGAGAGGGAGAGGGAGAGGGAGAGAGAGAGAGAGAGAGAGAGGGAGAGGTCTTATTAACTCGCTCTCTCTTTTCTAAGGGCTCACGCTCTTCAAGCCTTGACATCGGGGTGAAAGTTTACGACACACTTCCCCCCAGTGACAGTCACCTATGCACTCATTGGACCTTCATTAGGTGCTTTCATTTTTCCTCGACTACACAGCTGAAACCAGCTCATCGTAGACGGAATAATAATATGCTTGAGGTGCTGTGTGTGCCCCTGAGATTTAAGTGTTATAAATCACATCGAACCACTTTTAAGGCAACTTTTTCATCAGATGAAAATTAGAATTTTTTTTAGGTGAAACGGTTTCGTCCCCGCCATCCAGGAGAATCTAGAGCTAACTTAGAATAAAGAGATGGAAGACAAAGTTGCTTCTCCTCGTTTGAAAGGTTCTTAAAATGCCGTGGCTCACCGTGAATATAGAAAAATCATCACTGTTGAGCTCTTAGTGCTTGATTTTTTGTAGTAAAGAAGTGGAACCAACCTAAGCCCCACCCAAATATTGGTCCTCCCACCCCCACTGGATGGTTGTGGAGGTGGTTTTTGTGATTAATGATTATGATGTGATGGTGGCCGTGATGATGATAAAATTAATGTACAGAACTGCCGTCGTAAGGGAAAACGACGAATGGTCAAAATTTTTCGATTTTTCAAGTTTTATATATTTCACAGAGTATTTAATTCTGCATCTGATGGTATAAAATTTTTTGTCATATCCTAATCCGTTGTTGCGTAATTGAGAGTTCGTCACTTTCCCTTACACTAGCAAGCTCTGAGCCAGAGCTCAGTGTAAGGGAGAACGACGAATGTCGAATAACTTTGCCAATGTCAATAATGCGTCACAACTGACCATCGCCTGTGCCCATAAACGTTCATGAATGTAAAGGAGAGTGACAAACCGTACCATTCGTCGTTTTCGCTTACATCGCAAGGCTCACCTGCAGGTGCGCAATGTAAGGGAGAACGACGAATGTCGAATAACTTTGCTACTTTTTAACCTAAACCATTCAAACTTTAGAGACTGCTTTATGAACACCTCAATCAGATATCTGGTGAATTACAGCTTAAAAGAGTGAAAAATAGAAGAGTTATAAAGTTAAAACAGTTTTTGCCTCTCCTGAAAAATTTGCCTCGCTACCTGCGCAGGACCATTCGTCGTTTTCCCTTACGACGGCAGAGAAGTGGTCAGGACATATGGTGTGTGTGTGTGTGTGTGTGTGTGTGTGTGTGTGTGTGTGTGTGTGTGTGTGTGTGTGTGTGTGTGTGTGTGTGTGTGTGTGTGTGTGTGTGTGTGTGTCCATGCGTGCGTGTGTGCGTGCGTACGTGCGTGCGTGCGTGCGTACATGTGTGTATGAGTATGTGTGGTGAGAGAGAATTGAATTGAATTTGACTTTATTGACTTTCGAGGTCAATGGCCCGTACGTCATAAAAAGTTACAAGTTAATATGCAAAATACTGATCTCTCTGTGTTGTGCTAAAGAACAAATTACATAATAACCTACAACACAGAAAACACATAGATCTATATAACATTTACATCTAGAATCTAGTTCTACACCTAATGGAATGGGCCCTCACACAACAAAGTACAGAGTACAAAGCATTGGTCATAGTCATGGACGCGTGATGCTGATTGTAAACAAAGCTTACAGGCTGGACTTTGGTCTACCAGAAAAATAATAAATTATATGAAATTAAACCCAAACTAGAACAGCGAAATCCTTCGGATCTCTCCAGAAGAGACGAAGTCATTTTTACTCGATTGCGCATCGGACACACGGCCCTGACCCACAAATACCTCCTACAGGGAGATGAGAAGCCGTTCTGTGTCGGATGCGACACAGATTTTACCATTAGACACATTTTAACAGAATGTCTAGACTTTGGAGAGATCCGAAGGAAATATTATAAATGCAAGAAATTGCAGGATATTTTTTCCGTCGTTGTTCCCAGCAGAATTTTAAATTTTATAAAGGCCATTGGCCTTTATGGCGAGTTGTAGAGTGAATTTGATATCATTAAAAATGTTTATTGTTACTTAAAAGTTGTTTTAGATCACAAATGTATTTACACCGAATTTGAATATTTTAACTTTTTAGCATTTAAAGTAAATTAGTTAGCCAGTCGTGAAGTGAACTTTCGCAGAGGTGAACAACTTGTGTTTCGCGCGCTCATATGACCTTAGCAGTTGCGAGCGCCGTAAAACCTTATACTATACTATACATCTCTAGTCTAATCTAGACTCTAGATTAAAAAATCAATTTCACATTGTCTTTCTATTTTTCGTCCTTTGGGAATCTGAAGAAAGACAATTATTTGGTTTTTCCTCTGGAATTAGAACGGGCGATCGCTGAACAAAACTAGCCAGTAATGCCGACAGCATGAGGGTTGCGTGTCACTCGCCGTGTTTGTTTACATACTGTCGCACGCTCGCCGCTAGTGGCGCTAGGAGTCGGTGTGCCTAACAAAATTGGGTCAGTGCTGCATCTTACCGTAGGCTGTACTATCTTTTGTTTTATTAAGATGACATAAGTGTTATTTGTTAACATTAGAAATTTTGACGTGACGGGTACATGTTGATTAGCCCGTGCAGGCACTTACTTTTGAATTAGAAAGCTAAACAATGAAAGCTATGTCACAAAAATACTGAGTTGCTTTCAGCAATGAACAGAAAAAGAACCCCCCGGGGCAGTGCCTCTGACTGAAGTGTCTTTAGGCCATTCCCAAAGGGGGGACATTTCTCGTTCAATCATAGTAGAAATGTAAATGGGCTGACTCATGTCACGCTCATAACTGTGCCTGATCTACAACAGGGAACTGCTGCTTTTTCTATCCTGATCTTTACTATTGTCATTTTCCTCTACTTCTTTTGTATGTCCTCTACTTCTTTTGTATGTTTGTCACTCTCTTGTGACCTGCTATTTTGGGGTGCCTTGATAGTGGAAGCAGACCTTGTGCTGTTTAAGCTAAAGAGGTGAGCAGTCTAAGTATGATTCCTTGTAAAGACTTCTCTGTTGACACCCACCCCTTGGCGCTCATATGACCTTATGCAGTTGCGAGGGCCGTAAAACCCTCTACTATAAAAAGAACAGAAAAAATGGGTTTTTTAAATGTCTTATTGCATTACGTGCCCCTTTATAAGATTGGCAAGCTATGAAAAAAAAAAGAAAATCAGAGAAAACTATTGTTGCGCTATGTTGAACAATTTTTTTTACCTTGCTAAATGAATAAATAAATATTTATGTCAAGGCATGGTGGAATTTTGAACAATTTTGACTCTTATTACTCTCTTTTCTCCTACCCTTTCCTACCTCTCTAAATGGTAATTATTGTGCCGAAGTTCACGCCCTTAAGACCTTTCCGCTTATTTTTCATTCAGATTCTGCGAATCTACCGACAGTCAACTTATGAATGCTGATATTTAGCACAAACAGATGAGATGGGTATCTTTTGTCCTCTCCGCTGGCCAGAAGGCTTTGTGTCACAGACCTCTCTATGGGCAGCACCCCTTGTGAACTCCTCAGCCTTAGATGTGGAAGTGTGCATGCTGAGGCTATTGGTTTATATACTCTGGTGTGGAAGTGTTAATGTGTGCATATATATGTGTGTGTGTGCGTGTGGGTGAACATAGTGTAAATGCACTCATATATACAAATGTGGTATGTGGGAGCATGTGTTTGTTTGTACATAGGGTGTATCTGGATGTGTGTGTGTGTGTGTGTGTGTGTGTGTGTGTGTGTGTGTGTATGTGTGTGTGTGTGTGTGTGTGTGTGTGTGTGTGTGTGTGTGTATGTGTGTGTGTGTGTGTGTGTGTGTGTGTGTGTGTGTGTGTGTGTGTGTGTGAGTGTGTGTGTGTTTGTGTGTGTGTTTGTTCATGGGCATGTGTGTCATGTGTGTGTTTATTGATGTGTGTATGTGTGTGTGTGTATGCACATGCATACATGCATTCGTTATGTGTCAATATTTGTATCCTTTAAATAATTCCCTTGTATTAGGTTAGTTATGAATGTGATGTTTGATATGAAGTCGAAAATGGGAATGAATACTCTTTTCTTCACGTTTAGTCAGTCCGATTGTTTCCCCCCAAATTCAGCATTGAACTGATCAGTTGCCCTTTGGAAAGCACTTAGTGTACAGACATTATCATCGTAAATGCTTCAGATGGTGCCACCAAATTGCCATCACAGCTGCACATAGTTTCCACTTATTTCAAACATGTATCGACAATTAGGGCTCAGAGCTTGTCAGACTTTCTGCTGAACAGTCTTTTTTCTGAGAGAATTTTTATATATCTGTTACATCATACAACATTTCACTCCCATTACGAACAAAATTGTGGCTGTGATCTTTACGTGCTATAAAATAAGCTGGCTACGCTTCAGACTTTTATTAATACTCATTCACTCGTGTTCTTCTTCAGATTTAGATCTCAGGATTAAAGAACGAGATCTGTTTTGTTTATTATTACTCATCTACCCTCTCTTTGTCTTCCCTCCTTAGTAACCATAGATGTATTATATTAATCCCCACGAAGACATTAAGCACATTGGCTTTGTGTTTTAAAAGTGTAGTCTTTGAAAACAGGAGTAATTCTTTTCAAAGCTAGTTCATTCTCAGTTAATATTCTTTGCCGTTATTTAAGCAGAGGTCATTTAAAAACAAAATTTCCATTTGTGAGTGAATGAATGTTTGAGCTTTATCTGGTCTTTTAATTTATTTGTATATCTTTGTGTAGTACTTTTATTATGAAAGATAGAAACATGTAAGTACCTTATGCCCGAGCAATGGATGGAAATTGAAGTAAATGTAGAAACCGTTGTGTGACTCTAGGCCTTTATTCACTGTCATATTTTTATTCAACACTTTTTTCTTTCACTACACTTGCCAGGGGGCAAACTAATGGATGCCTTTGTGCCTATGGTACTACACTGATAATCCTGTGCTTACTTATGTTTTTAAGATGTTTTCGGTCAATTAGTTCCCCCTGGCATTGCAAAATTGGCTGGATTACTATGGAACATTGTGAAAAAACACCCACCCCCTCGCCTTTGAATATATGATGTGATTTTCAAATGTTGATTTTGTAAATGCATGATTCACAAGTTTGTATAAATTTGGAACCCTTGAATTCTGTTCTTTTTAAAAATGGGATAGCATTATGTTCTAATTCTTAGTCTTGGTTTAGTATGCTTCCTTTATTTCAACGCCTTTTATTAAAGGGACACCAGGGGTTTGTGAATGACTGTGTGTCCAAACATGCAGCACTACGGCGTTTTTATTGAACGTTTCCCCGAGGAAAATGGATATGTGTAGGCCTTGGAGGTTGAACTAGAACACAGCTCCCTGAAGGACAAAAAGTTTTTTTTTGGTAGAAACAGGAAATTCTTAAGAAAATAAAATGCTTGTAGAAGACTACGGGGAGTTACGAGTGGGAATCCAGGTCTCATGTTCATTGTAAAGAGCAAAGATAGGATGTAAATAGGGGCTAGTCCTTGCTGCCAGATGGTAACGATGCCCTTACAAATTCATAAAGTATAAGTTGGACCATCATATTAAAAGGGCGTAAGTCCTTTGCCTAAGCGCAGTGTGTTTTCTTTTATTGCATCATAAAATACACAGCTGGAAACTTATTTAGGAAGAGCCGAGGTTCTCCAAAGAGAGGATTGTGTCCAGCCGACCCTCCACTGGGTAGTAGGGTTGCTATTGGGAGAAGCAACATAAAGAGAATGATACACGCATCAAACAGTGGGGGAGCATCAATCTCAGAGGGATTGGGGGGGGGGGGGACTGAAGTTCAATGAGCAGTGTCTTGTTCCTCAAAAGAGTTTTAGCCTATTGTGAAGATGGTAAGGCTTGCTTTCTGCTGTCCTATTGGTGTTCTCTGTTGTAAATACTTTTCTTTGGTGGCGGTTTGGTTATGGGAGAAAGATTTCTTTTAAACATTTTTCCGAAAGATCAAATCATGTTTCTCTTCTCGCAGATTTAACCTCATAGTACCTATTCTTTTACTTTCTAGAGGATGAGCTGAAAAAGTCAGAGATTGGAAAAGATTTCAGAGAATGAAGAATGGGTGATACAGCTTGCACATCAAAACATGGTTTTCCCCTGTGTTTTATAGCACATGTTGGTTTCCTTGCCAAATTTAGAAAAGTTTGATAAAGTTCCCACATCTGTAATACTCACCATATATTTGTTACCATGTGTATGACAGAATGACTTGGATGGTTGTTTTTATCGTATCACAGGCAGCCTACCTCAGTGGTTCCAGTCCTCCAGTCCTCCATCTCACATACTTGTCGGACCTATCCGCGTCCCATTCTTTCTCGAGCTGAAAGTCTTTATACATCTAGAGTGATCATGTGGTTGTTGTTGTATTCACTTTTGAGTAAAGTTGCCCTTTGTCGGCCTGTTTGCCTCGTGTTTCAGAGATTAGTATTTCTTCCCTGCAGTTTCCTACTTGAAGGGTTCGAATAGCATATGAAACCTATCTTTGAAAGAGCCATCTATAATTTTAGAGGAGAACTGAATTTTATATTTGTGGTATTCAAGAGGAATTAAAGATTTCAAAAACTAAACCTTAGGTTGTAAGAAAAGAAATTGCTCCTTTTGTTTCTGGCAAAGACAGCAAGTTAAAGTGGGGTTTGGTGCTCGTAGGCACGTCAGTATCCAAGTGTCTGTGAACACAGTTGTAGGTACTTGACATTGTCTTGTATTCAGCTGTACTCATTCTCATTAGTGTTACTTAAGCAACTTGCAGAACCAATTTTCTTATATCGGCTGTCCGATGCATCTGTTAGCTTTCAAGTCTAGATGAACAAATAGGTCATTGAATTAGTTAAGTTTTCAAAGGTGACAAGAATGGAGCACCTGTCACATATTCCTGGCTCTAACACTTGTGTGTACACTACAATAACAATCAACATCAATTAGTTAAATGTCTATTGCACTATTGTGTATTGTGATCTTATTTCAGTGCTGTATTCTCTCCCCCCTCACTTTCGTGTTTGTCATTTGATGATTTGTTGAGTTATATCTGACGTCTGTCCCAAATACATCAGTACTAGAAACTTTTCCTATGAAAAATATACGGATTCCTCTATTCCAGAAATTATTAGAACTTTGCAGGTATATAATATTCCAGGCTTTTTAATACTTTTATGTCATGAATGAATCTCCCTATATACATACATATATGTTTACTTCTTTAGAACTAATGTCAACATGCCTTATTTCCAAAAAAATTCTAAATGCACCAAAGAGCCGCCTATAATTGTAACTTTATGAAATGTCTTGTCAAATGTCTACTGGTACCATCTTAAATACATTCGTTTTATTTTATTATGAAAATTACAAACTGAAACGAATGAAGGCACTATTTAATAATTTATGCCTGTAAGCAGCTTCCTTGACCTTTGAAGGGCAGAACAGTTTTCAATTATGTTCTACACCCATGTTATGTTGAGTAAAAGTTTTGGCTTCAGATGGAATACAGGTGAGATGGAAATGGGCTTTCAAAGAGCTGGAAATGCACTCTTTGTTCACACAAATAGATAGGGACTGTGATAGAACCTCCCTAGCTCCTTGTTCGGCTTGTATGTTCCTCTCCCTGGAAATGCTGCTTTACTTTCTCACTCAAGCACACCAGGGCCTTATTAATGATGACTGAGCTGACCTGATGTTTGTTCGTTGCATATGGAGCTCAGAATAGGAAAAAATAGTGCTGAATGTCAGTTTATTCAGGACCTAAGTACAGCTCACTCATGGTTGGTTTTGGTCCCAGTTCTCCCTTTGTTCATTGTTGTCAAGCTATTAGTCTGTGACTTTCCTCAGGTGTATGCCAAAGTAAAGACAAAGAGACAACTGCACAATTCTCCATCCACAATACCGTTTGTGTCCCTCCCAGTCCCAGTAAATGAATTCCTCCAAACTCTATGCATTTACTCAAACACTCGAATGTGTGGCGTTGTGGTGAAATTAGGCGTTCATCAAAATAATGAACTCAAACCAACATTTTTCTGCTCGTTTGGCAATTTTTATTAATGTTTTTTTTTTTTTTTTTTGGTCTCAACACTCTTCACGTTCATTTAAAAACTCATCTTGTGTGGATTTTACTGAAAATCTTTGATCAAAGGCACAAAAAATTTGAATTTACAGTTTCCAAAGAGATTCAAGCTGTGGAAGTCTGTAGACTTTGGCAGCCATTTTCAAACTAAGTATATATTTGAAACCGGGCAACCCCTCGTCCTTCAATCACAAATATCTTGACTTCTGTTCAATATGAATGAGTATTTTTTTAAATTAAAAGAAAGACAAATGAACATATTTTATGATAATACCAATAATTTCATATCCCCAAAATTTAATGAGCACCTGATTCCACCATATCATGACACATATATATTTGCATACCAGTCTGCCTTCACTTGCACGCACTCGCACACACACACACATATGCACACACACACACACACACACACACACACACACACACACACACACACACACACGCACACACACACACACACAGACACACACACATACCCACACACTCACACACACACACACACACACACACACTGACATACACATACTTGTGTGTGTATGTGTGCACACCTCTTGTCTGAATCTCCATCTTATACTTATAGTATACTCACATGCACATACATACTCTCGTTTGCTCACATGCAAACACTCACACACAAGTATGCATTCACAGTTCATGCTCATTAATCAGTATG